GATGACCTAATATTTTATTTATAAGAAAAATATATGCTAGAGGGGGTAGGACCAGAAAAGTTTTTTTAAGCTTCTTCTTGCCCCTGTTGAACATGACAGAGACTATTTGAGAATCTTTTTTTGTTTTTAAATTTTTTTTTTTTTTTGTACTTTGTTATTATTATTAATGTGAGTGAGAAAGAAAAAGGGAAAAAAAAGAGTATATATATATATATTCTTGTTGTATGTTTTTGTTTCTGACATGTTCAATAAACTGACTAAACTAAACATGCATGTGTGAACATCACATATGGATCACAGGATTTCTTCAGTAGGTGAAGCAAAAGGTTAAGGTTGTTAGAAAAACTTTTGCAGACTAACTTCTCTTTGAAAGCCAGTTGTTTTCTTTCCGCCTCCCTTTGAAGAAACAGCTATGTCTCTTTCAGACAGGGAGAAATGTGTCTGTCCTGCATCCTTCCTTCATCCACTTGCTCCACTTCTTCAGTCTTTTTAAAATGCAAGGCCACACACAACTTCATTTATTCTCTCACTTTCTGCCCTTTACTTTCCCCATTGATACCCCTCTCTGTTACGCACACACACACACACGCGCACACACGCACGCGCACACAGTCACACTCACACTCACACACACACACACACACACACACACACACACACACACACACACACACACACACACACACACACACACACGAAACTCACCCCTACAGTGAGACGTATGCAATCTGAAAACACTTTTACCTTTCCCAAAACAGACAAAAGCAGCGAGTAGGATGACGTGTGTGTGTGTGTGTGTGTGTGTGTGTGTGTGTGTGTGTGTGTGTGTGTGTGTGTGTGTGTGTGTGTCCACTTTCAATGCTTTGTGTGATACTCTGAGAGTAGAGAGCCAAAACAGCCCTCTACTCCTGCTCGGTGGATAATATATTCTCATTCTCACACACAACAATGAAACTACCAGTAAGGTCTTCATGAATGTACGGTGGCTGACGGGTGCCAACACAGCCCAAAACATTTCCATCAGGAGGAACACGCTGCGGCTTCAGAAAGGTGCAAATATAAAAACACAAATGTGCCAAAACACAAGAGGAAACATCTTCACCAACTTGATGAAAAATGTGCAACGCTTATTAAAAGCGGCCACTGTCTCAATGTTATTCCATTTGACAATTTGACATTTATTCCCTCAAAAAATCCTATCTGATCGGCTTTCCTGCGCTTGGGTATTATACAAAAATAAAAGATGGACCTTTGTCATAGTACATGGATTTAAAATGATCTTTCTGCACAACCCCCTCAAAATGATCAGTGCAGTACAAGGAGTAATAGACATCCACACGCTAACATATGAACACTTTCCATGCACATGGTAACAAACACGGAGGAACAGGTGACATGTGATGATTTTGTTTTTTTGATGGGTTAAAGCAGGGGTGTCCAAACTACGGCCCGGGGGCCAAATGCGGCCCGCGGACCATTTTGAATCGGCCCTCGCTCAACAAATTCAAAAAGTATAATGACTTAAGTATAATAAACTTCTGCTTGTCTTATATTGTGCTTCTTAGATATATATGTTCAAATATATTCATGTGTTAAGAAGCCCAATTATCAAATAAATTCAATCCATTGAAGTTGAAAACATGTTCTAACAAATCTAAGTTGATAAGAGAAATGCCCAATAACACACTCACATAACACCACCCTTCATATGCCCTCTTAATATCAGAAATCTGAAGCTTCTGTTTTAAGGAATGAGCTGCCAACTAAATAAATGAAACCCCATGGAGAGCTGAGATGTGAGTTCAAGTATGAAATATAATTTACCTACATTGGATTGTGAGCGGCCCAGCCCTTCGTATATGTTTCTGTATGTGGCCCTCGGTGAAAAGAGTGTGGACACCCCTTGGGTTAAAGTCAACATGAGAGCAATAACTTGTTGAGAATGAAATGGAGGCAGAGAACCAGAAGCATGCAATAGGTGTCTTAATAACGTCCTACCTGTAGGAAGTGGCAGGTGCGCCCCTGCTCAGCTTTCACTAGAGCTTTATCTAGGTTGACCGAGGCCTTTTGGTAGACCTCCCTCGCTCTGCTCACCGTCAGAGTGGACGACCACGAGCTCTTCTTCAGCTGCACTTGACCCTCCAACGGGCCGACAAGTTGCAAACCTCCCCCTCCCCCTCCTCCAGCACACGTGGAGCACTTCACATCGTTGTTGCTGCGCGACGTCTTCAGAGAGTGAGCGCTGATGGTGTTGTAGGACTCCATGAAGTATTGGGACTGCGATTTCTCCGGGTGGCGCCCCATAGTCATGACCCCCGATGGACGTCCTCCTCCATTTCCTCCATGTTGATGATGATAGAGACACATCTCGTGGTCCAGGGTGTCGTCTGAACTCCAGTATCCGGAGATGGCGGAGCGCATTTTGGGCTCGGACTTGGATCGATCTTTGCTTTTACTGCGCTTGCTGTGTTTCAGCGTGCCAGAGGAGGAGGAAGGCGGGTCGTCAGGGCTGGATTTGCTGCCGTTCATCTTTCCGCTTCCTCCTCCTCCTATTCCCCCTCCTCCTGAAGGCCCCTCTAAGGAGTGAGACTTGGTGAAAAGCTTCTGTACAGAATGGACGAGGTGTCGAATTCGCCCGGGGCTGTCGCTGCGCTGATGCTCCACCGCAGTTCGTTTATACTGTAAAGTGTGATATCCTTCACGCTGCATCGGAGCCTGGCGATCAAACTGCTCCAACAGGTTGGCGGGGGTCCGGTTGTTGTTGTTTCCTTTAATGCTCCCAGTTTGCCCAGTGTAAGGCACCAGAGCTCCACACTCCTCCTTCAGCTCGTGGTTGGAGCTGTAGTGTCTGCGGGGGAAAGTGCAGCTGGAAATATCCGGGTAGGCGCCGCATTCGGAGTGGAAAGAGTTTCGTTGGGGGAATCCAGGGTTGTTGTTGTTGTTGTGGTGGTGGTCTGCAGGGTGAGACTCCCCGGGGTTATTGAGGAAGAAGGAGCGGCGGTCGGAGCGTCCGAGCGTCATGGAGTCGTAGGAGGGGTCGCAGGTCACCGTGTGGTGGAGGCTGCGGCTGTTAGACAGGCCTTTCATCGTCATGGTGACCGAACGACGTGCAACTGGAAGTCTGCACGGGCCCCGAATCTAGATCTGCAGAGGAAGGAAAGGAAAGATTAGTCTTCAACCTGGATTTTGAAATAGTAGGAGTTGTAGCGGACCTGCAAAGAAAACAAAAAGCAAAAACAGACAAACAAACAAGAAGAGAGAGAATTATAAATATCTCATATTCACAGCCGCTCTTCATCTGCTCTGATTTGAAGAAGACGCTGTTTGGCACTCGATCACAGATGAGAAAACTTGATGACTTGGATCTAGTTTCTAGTTTCTAGTCCTTCATGACTTAAAAAAGCCACTTGGCATGTGTTCCCTGACATTACATCTCTTCCACTTCTATGTTTTCTTTCTGCTAGTTTTCAGTGAAGTAGTGACAGGGGATCAAGGAGGCAGAGAGGAAAGAGGCAAAACAATCAAGTAGAGTTCAAATCTATTCCTAGCTCAAGAGTGTGTGCTATATTTGTTCAAAGGTATTGCTGGAAATGAGGGTCTAGCTAACATCGAAGGAGTCTCTGTCTGTTTGCTCGGGATGCAACTATGTCCTGGTAAGAGTGTAATGTTTAGGACACAAGGAAGCTTAATGTTGATGGAAAAAGTTGTGTAAAGAGTTCTTGAGAAAGCTGCAATCAGCCATAACAGAGGTTAATACAAGGCTTAGTTGAATACTCGATTCTGATTGGTCAATTCAGACATTCATTATCGATAATCAGAGGTGGGAAGTAGTGGAGTACACAAATACCTGAACTTTCTACTTCTTACATGTTGAACACAAATACCTGTACTTTCTACTTCTTACATGTTGAACTCAAATACCTGTACTTTCTACTTCTTACATGTTGAACACAAATACCTGTACTTTCTACTTCTTACATGTTGAACCACAAATACCTGTACTTTCTACTTCTTACATGTTGAACTCAAATACCTGTACTTTCTACTTCTTACATGTTGAACTCAAATACCTGTACTTTCTACTTCTCTCATTTTCCAAACAGGCTGGTTCCTTTAGTCTGAATGTGTGTTTGGTGGCGTGATCATTATTATTTAGAGTCATTGCGTGCCTATTGATTTGAACACGATCCGTGTATCCATCATTTCCTGGTCTTCTCTAAAGAAGAGGGACCAATGAAAACGTTGTCATGTTGCCGTTG